AGGTTTCGATTTCGTTGCAAAATTCGAAACCATTTTTAAGTTCTGTATGCTACCAGTTTTTTTTCAGTGACACTGGTATTCTTGATGAAGTGTACCCTTAGAAAAAGTTACTCTGTTCAACGTGGTTTGCAGTAACACTATCTTATGCGTGAGGCTTTTTCCACTCAAGACCATCGATTCAACATCTTGAGTATCATCGAGCGAAACTCTATTAAAATGACTTCCTAGCCATAAAAAATACAAAGTGTATATGCCCCATGATTTTTTCTTGTTTGTAGCCGCTCTTTACTGTCAGCTTTAGTTTTATCACTAGTCCCATAATATTGAAAACTAATTACACTTAGGTGCTCGACGATACTGAAGTATACAAATTTTGATTTGTGTACCTCCAATCATTTTCCCTCTGTATTTATTACTAACAACACTAATTGGTTTTCGCCAGCCAAATGTATCTTCACCGGAATCAATGAAGTATGACTATTTCATCACGTAAACGAGTTTTTTTCTCATTCATGTGCTCGTCATCACACATATTTTTGTTTTTCATATAGGCTGTGTATGAAAATGTGCCCATGGATAGGGTGCCAGTGGATGGGAATGTAGGCGTGGGTGTCGATGTGGATGCTGGGTGGGTGTCTTCTATTTTAACCACACCGACAATCACAACGCACATTCACACTCCACACCCACACCAACACACCCACACCCACACACCCACACCCGCACCAACACCCACACCCACACCCACACACCAACACCCACACGCACGCCCTGAGCGCCAATAGAGCTTCTCACATTCGATTCTGTTGGGTGTTTATTTCCAACTATGATTTGGGTAGTTTTTCATCACTGTATTGAAGTGTGCGCTAAGACAGAAAATGGCTTGTTTTTATATACGCATAAGAAGAAAAAAAGGTATAATGAAAATGGAGAAAACGAACTCGATCATGTTTTTTTTTTCAATTAGTGCTGCAAGTCTAGGGCATAGTTGATTGCTCGTTCTTGCTGCGCGTTACCTTCGTACGAACTTGCAGTGATACTATCACATACATCGTCTAATATGTGTGAAATTAGCCTCGCAAAAAAGGACTCTCATATTTTTTTTCATCGTGCTGAAATTGCGTACCGTCATCGCTATACAAGTCTTATTACATTCGCTCAGTCACAGTGAATATAAGCACACAAATGACCGAACCATTCAATACACAAGAACTACAAGATGCCTTCGACATGTTCGACGCTGGTATAGTTTCTTTTCTTTCTAGTAAACTTGAATATTGATAAGATCGTTAATACAGATAAATCCGGCAGGATTTCAAAGGATGAACTCATCAATGTGTTTAAAGCGCTCGACTTAGATCTCAATGAGCGCAAACTGGAGGTCTACATGGGTATGATGGATCCTGAAAAAACAGGTATGTGCTTAATTTCTTCTTGATATGAACTGCACGTGGTTTTTGTTACCGAATGGTTTAGGCGAAATTGATTTTGCTGGATTTAAACGTCTCTTGGAGCATGACTTCGTTATTGCGCAATCGCCGGACGACTTGCGCGCTCTGTTTGCTGAATTCGACAAGGACAAGTCGGGTTTTATCGAAGCTAACGAACTCAAAAAAGGGTTGGCGAAAAAGGGACTCCGGTTCACAAAGGCGGAAATCAAAGCTCAGATAGCCTTGCTGGACACTAACAACGACAAGAAGTTGTCTTTTGACGAATTTGGCAAACTGTTCAATCAAAAAGTGTGAACAATAGGGGTGTTACTTTATATTTACTTTACTTTATAAATATAAATAAAATCTGTATATTTGAAAAATAAAGATAAATAAATCCTTTATTTTTGAAAAATAAAGAAAATATAAAGATAAATGTAAGATTTTTTCTATCAACGAAAAAGAAACAAATCCGTGCTATAACTACAGGCTATGTCAACTAGAAGAAGTTTATAGCATGAAAATGTTTAGTCTTTTAAGGGAACGCTATTATTAACTACGTAACGTGTCAAAAAAGAGAGAACTCTTTTATCAATTTACTGAGTCCTTAAATGACCAATAGTAAAAGAAACTTGTATGATATCTTCGATCGATTTTTAGACTGTGTCTTCTATCAAACATCCATTTGTGATGCCATTAAAAGCTCTCAAATTTAGATTCGATCTTGCTCCTACACTTTTATGAAAATCACTTTGTAGGAAACATTACATGACTTTCATGCTGGTTATATCTAAATTCTCTCTTTTAATGTGTTTGAGTGAGCACAAAAGTCAGCTACTCACGGATACCTACACTTTTAAATATCCAACTCAATACAACGATGAAGAAAAATGTCGAAAGACACTATCTCATCGAAGTTTTCTTTTAGTATCCGTAAAGAATCTACAGTAGTATCTTTTTTGCATGAGACAGGCTTCATTTCTTCAAAGGGTTATGTAAATTTTCCGAAAAAGAATTTCGAAGAAAAAAGTAACAAAAGGATTTTCTTTTATATAAGCAGGGTGTGGGTGTGGGTGTGGGTGTGAGTGTTAATGAAATGATATTCCAACCCCACACCTTCACTCCCCTCCCCACACTCCCCTCCCCACACTCCCACCCCACACTCCACCCCTACCCCACACCCCCCACACCCACCCACACCCTAAATGACTAGACATACTTTACTGATTATTTAGACACAAAATTTGTTACCGGGAGTACTGAATATTGCTAAGATTTTGTGGGGTTGCCTGGACAATGATTAGCTAAAATAGGGCATTTCGCACCACCATTTTATACATTACAAGTCTGGCCGTACTGTTCCGAAAAATTTGATTTATGAAACAAATAGAGGTCAATGATATGCATTTTTTTGAGAAAGTTTCGCGTTGGTACTCAATTGTCCTGTGGCACACAACTGAGCACACTGAAATATCATTTTCTCAATAAGTAGCGTATATCTATGGAAGGTGATCTCTCTTAATTATAACATAGTTCCATTGAAACTTATCGATTATAAAAAATTGAAAAGCATTCATAACTGTATTGAATTTTGTCTAGAAAAGGAAATACTCCTATATTTTTGATCAAGGATCATAATAGCTCCATTATTTCTATATGCTATAGAATGATGAGCAGTATATGGATCCTTAGGACATAAAGGCTCAATGAAAATTAGACTTTCTATATAGTCCCTTTAATAGATTTTAATCAATTTTTTATGAAGATAACTGTAATGGATTAAAATCGATTTTATTTCAAGAAATGCAAATAATCGATTAGAAATTTAATAGATTTTAATCGATTTTTTTATACAGATAACCTTAATCGATTAAAATCGATTATAGTTCTATGGATATGATTGTTTTTCATATGTAAAATTGATTAAAATCGATTATTCAAGTTTAATTGATTAAAATCCATTACAGCTACATGAATGGTAATATCTTCCCGTAGAGAAAATCGATTAAATTTCCATGAATGCTGATTTTTTATAGAAAAAAATTGATTATAATCAATTATTTTTTTGTAATCAATTTTAATCGAGTTTTGAATGTAATTGCGCAATTTCGAAGAAAACAATTTAAATAGGACTTCCAAACATACTTTGAATGCCGAAGTTTGGTGCATCGGCAACTTCATAGTTTCTAAATACGAGAAATAAGAAGAAGTGGTCGAAAAATATGGGTTTTGTGTTCGAATCTCGAGTAAGTCGCAAATTTTCGTGGTTTCATAAGAAAATCGATTAAAATCAATTAGTAAGTAATAATAGATTAAAACCGATTAACAAATGATGATCGATTAAAATCGATTAACAGGTAATGAGAGATTTAAATGGATGATTCAGTTGAAGTAATGCACGCAGATTAAAAATAAAGAGTCATATGAACTCAGTTAATAGATGCGAAGAAATTAACAATGATTATTATCGGACGATTTTCATCGGATTTCCATCAAAATAAAAATCAAAATAAAATTGATTTTAATGGATTATTCTGTAAAAAATCTATTAAAATCAGTTGTTTTTTGATTTTTAATTTTATTAAAATCCGATGAAAATCGTCTCATTTTAATCGATTTTTAATCAAAAAAAAATTGATTAAAATCTGGATTTTTTACGATTTTTTTTTTACATGGGCCACACCCACCCATCTCTTCAGAAGAGAAGATCTAGATACGACACTAACTCGCACGAAGAAAAACACAAGAACATTGAAAATTGAGTTATAGAAAAGGTATTCATACTTTCTATGATCAACAATCATTCGAATTTGCCATTGTTTATCTCTACTAATTGCCATGCGTCTTTTGTAATATAAATAGGAAAAAAAAACAAAAGGTTTGAGAGATAAAAGAGTGACATGGATAATTAGGATGTTGTTAATACGTTTTTTTTTTCTTTCCAATCTCTTTATTCAAAATAATTCATACACAGCAATGCGAGAAAATGAATCAAAGAGAAATGTGTGATTCTAAAAGGAACCATATATTAATTTTTAATATTTTGATTGATATTTATATTTTAAATATTTTTTCAAACGATTATTTGTCCTGAATAACTTCATTGTAATTTCGTGTACTTATTGTCAATCACGTAGCAAAATGTTTTTTCTTTGACGAACAACAAATCACTTGACTATAAACACTTTTGATACTTACGTTTCTTATCAAGATAGAACAAATTGATATACAAGTCATTTTCTTTATTTCGCTTACGAGCTTGAATAGATGCAAAGAAAACGTCTTAAGTTAATGGAAGCAAAAAAATAAAAAAATAAAAGAAAACCAGTAGAGCAGACAGAACGAAAAATCTTATATTTGCCTATCGCTTCGTTGATACTGTTCGTAAGACTCATTATACATTTTTTTTCAGTGTATATATACCACTTGTACATGCATAATTTTCTTCTGATAGTATTTTGATTGTTAGTATTATACATTGTATTATTCATTGAAGTATTACTATTTATATAAACTTCCAAGTGACATTTACAAACATCTTATATTTAATATCTTTACATATAGAATAGAATGGCGTTGATATTATTTTTATTTAAAGTTTCTAATATTGATATTTCTAATTCTAAATTGGAAATTATTGGTAAAAATGATGATCAATCAACATCTGATATATTAACAACACAATTTACTAATGATGAAAATGTGACGTTATTGAGTGCGAAAGTCATATTTCGAGGTATCTATTAATAACATATGAATACAGAAAAAGAGAAGATAAGAAGTCAATATAAAAAGAACGACAAAGCACTCTTTTACTTTTGCTTGAAAAAAATGATTTATTTATATGGACTGCGTGACAGCACTATAACATGTAATAATTGCTTCTCCTGAAAAAATTGACCTTGACGCGTCCATATCCATTGACTATCTTGATTACGTAACATTAAAAATAATGTTTTTTGATTTTCAAACTATTCATTTCTTAGTTTGTCTTTCTTTTCAAATCATACTTATTTATTTCATGATATGAGCATTATACAAAAACTTATTTTTAATGAATTTAAGAATCCATTGTCAAATTAATAACAACCCATGTAAAAAATACTGAGAAACTACAGCCAGTATACCTAACGTGCGCAATATACTAGTAGTACTAGTTATGAGATAAATTTTTATTAGTAAAATATATTCCTAAACTTTGTTATTTTCGGTTAATTTGAATTTTTTCTAATGAATAATTCGAATTTGAATAGAAAACGCTTTCTGGAATCGTTTACAACGGAAGCTAAAAATCGTAAGCACTACTGCTGGTTCTGCTAAGTACCACAGTATACCGACGTCAATGCGTACAAACGTGCGACATGAAAATGCTGATTTTTAAATAGTGTATGCAATGTCGCATAAGCTTTTTTCTTTTTGTCCTTGATATAATATGCATGGATCCATTCATTATCGATTCCTATTTACTTTGTTCGCCTCGAAATATATTTCGAATGTTTTGTATGAAAAGGACGAATAATTGATGTATAAAATTCCTTAATCTATCGCGTTGCTCATTTATAGTATTGTTCATTTGTAAGCAACTATTTTGAAATCTCTCGTGGATATTTCATACTTACAAAACAAATTTTTATTGATTTCCTTAAATTAAATTTAAATACTTTTAAATATAAATGAGAATGAATGAAAATAAATTATCTAAAAAGCAAATCAATAGAAGTTAAACATAATTATCATATAAAACAAAAATATGATATCTCAATATGAATAATAATCTTTTTTTTGTGCTCGATATAAATTTTGAATGATTACAGTTGAATTACAATTTTCTATTAAAGGTATTAGTCTTTACTCAAATAATGTACGCATATGTGCTGGTACAGCAAATTTTATTGCACGTGGAAACAAACCAAAGAAATTTAATTTCAATTTAGCAACTATGTTAGTACCCGATGATAAATTACGCATCGAATTTTATACGATAAATGGAAAAAAAAAAGGAAAAAAATTGATTGCAATTTTTGAATTAATGCTTGAATCTTTAATCGATTCAAAATATATTGATTTACCTGAAGAAAATTTATCTGATCGAAATAATTGCTTATTACCATCAACTGTACAACTTAAACTTTATTATACACCACCAGATATTGATAAACAACTTGCTGCAATAGGTTATGCTGATACTGTTGAATTGATCGATTGGAGAAGTATATTTGATGACGAAGGACGACATGGTGGTCATCGACATAGATATGCTCATTCAAAACATGATGGTCGATTGTAACTATTTAAATTAATATCAATAAATCCATATTTCTATTTGTTTCTATTATAGAACAAAATTTCGTACAAAATTAGCCGGTCGTGCAGATGATGCTGATACTGATACATGTAGTGATTCAGATTTTGAAGTAGCTCGAGATTCTGAAAAAAAATTTGGACCTGTTGATGAAAATGCAAAAATAAAAATGCAACATAATGATTTAGAATTATTAGAAAAAAGGTAAACAAACAAAGATTTCATTTTTATAAGAAAATTTTTTTCTATCATTTAAATTAAATATTAGTTTGGGTCGATATGTCGGTGATGTATATGAAATGATTGAATGGCAACTTATAGTATATATTATACAAGCACGAGATCTTCCAGGACTTGATATTAGTCCATATGTTAGTGTTCAAATCGATAATCAAAAACGATATACAAGTGTACAAAAATCTTGTAATTCACCATATTTTGGTGAAGTAAGATATACAAAGAAAAGAAAAATCAATATTAAAATATATTTATTTTCTAGTTCTTCACATTTGATTTTACACTACCAGCTACAAAATTTATGGAAAAAGTTATTATTATCAAAGTAAATTTTTTCGTTTTATCATGATTAATTTATTATGGCTACCATTTAAGTAGTCAGTAAAATAGATGAAATGATCAGTCAAAAAAAAAATATGTAAATCATCAATATAAATATTAAATGGTCAGTGTATTAAATATAAGCAACAGTAAAAAAATAAGCTTTATTAGTAGAAAATAAATTTAAATAAATCAAAAAACCAAAGAATAAATAAGAAGAAATTTAAAGAATAATTGAAAAAAGAAAGAAAATGAAAATCGAATTATTGTATTAGTAAAGCAGATTTAACCTCTGCTGCTACTAGTGATTTACAATATTTCAAACGAATAGCCATACCCACAATGTGTTTGCATATATAATTCTTTAAAACAAAAGCTAGACAGTTGTATTTCGATGTTTTCCAATGTAAATTATTTTCCATTTTCATACATCAAATATAAAAATGATTTTTTGAATTGATTAAACGTTGTCCATTTTTTTGTTATGTTTATTTAAATCATCTTGTGTAATCGATTATAAATCACGAGCTAGTATAAAATATTTTTTCGAAGACTCATTTGAAATATAAATGATATCATTTATTGATTTAGCCCATTGATGTGTAATAAAGTTCATAATTCTAAAGATATTGTTAGTTCTGTAGCAAATACTCTTGCATTAACGGAGAATAGATCTCGTTCGGTTAACCAATTATTGATCATATTTGAAGAAATTCTTAAAACTTTTGATAAAACATTGTGTTCTCGAAACGATTCATCATCTTTGATTGTTCTATTGGTTGCCTCTAGGGCGTTGTTTGTACTTGGTGCATACAGTTGTATATTTTCATAACAACCATCATTTGATTTGAACCATCCATTATCAAATGCATTTTGTGCGTAATTCAACATTGTGATTACCTTTTATTTTTAGGTTTCTTTTATTTTCATTTATTTCAGGATCTTCTTCCATCATCTCTTCTTCTCATATATCGCTTTCATATTGAAAAACTTGTATCACTTCCATAGTTGCAAATACCTCAAGTTTTGTAAACGCGAAACATGTTATTTTTATTTTAAAATCACTAAATAATTAAATCTGGGAATAGATAAAGATAACGATCAGGGAAGGAGTCGAGAAGCTTCTTTTCCTTTGATTTGGATAATGAGAATATATTTAGAACCACTGAGGAAAAAAGAAAAATAAGAGCAAAAGTAATACACTCTATAAACCATTTCAACTTTTATGTTGATCCGGGCCTTTTAATATAATCGACTGTTGATAAATTATATTTACTGATTTCGGAATTTATGTACAAATCTAATTAATTAATAACTGACCGTTTAAGTAATTTACTGAGCAAGCATTAAATTGACTGATTTTATAATTATTTCATTTACTGACAATTTCATTTATTTTACTGACCATAAATCATACACTTATTCATTATCATTATTTGTGAAGGTTCATGATGACGTTAGAATAATTAGTACATTTACAGATACAGCACCAATCGGAATTTTTCGACTAGATATATCAACAGTATATAATGAAAAAGAACATGCATTTGAACGAAAATGGGCTCAATTGGTTAATCCGAAAAATATTGCATCGCCTTGTGGTCATTTACTTCTTTCAATATCTGTTACACAACGTGGTGTTCCAACCAAAGTAAATAGATTTTGATTTGATCATACATTTTGATTTGTTTATTTGTTTGTTTTATTCTTTTTAAAGAATGTTGTCAGTGAAGAAATACACGACAATGATGAATTTAAACTATCGTAAATATAAAGGATCCTATCGAATTAGATGACCTATACAGAATTGAGAGAACAAATATATCATGTTGAGGAATGTCGAATAGTATAGAGTAAATCGCATTTTCTGTAAGACTTTCAAGGAACTGGAGTCAATTTATTGATAGATGACGATGTATCAAAAGCATAATCAGTTACAGATCATTGTGATCCTTGGTATCAGTCGAAAGTATTGGTAAATAAATTTTTCTTATATACAATTTTGTAGAGCTTTTCATAGGTGATAAGATCATATACTTAACATCTCTGGATCATCCTATCTTTGATAGATAAAAATGCGATTTTTCAATGATTTATCACCATTTTTTCACAAATGGTAAGTCTTCGTGACTTCAATACTGTCGACTATAAAAGATGTGACTAAACACCAAACTTTCTCAGTAATTGCCCGCAATGTAGTACTACAAAACATTTCATTTCGAAGTTCTCTAAAATGAGTGCATGATGTCCAAAATATCCTTGCATTGAGAAATCTTAACCAATTTATACATCAATTTTCTTCTTTTAATGCCGTATTTTGACTGTTGAAAGGCAAACTCTGTTGCGAAATAAACATGATATTTGAAATCAACATAACAAATTGCATTGAATAGCTTGTATTTCAACTAAATATTTTTCCACCGAAATTCGACCTGTACTCCTCCTGAGTCGTTTATTCCTGAATTTCGCCCTGTGGTATTTCACGGATCAAAGTTCGGTGGAAAAATATTTAGTTAAAATACAAGCTATTCTATGCAATTTGTTATGCTGATTCCAAATATCATTGACAGGGGCACTCACCATTAGTGAAAAACGATGATAAATCATTGAACAGTTGCATTTTTACCTATCAATTATAAAATGATCGAAGACTGATACCAAGGATCACAATAATCAATAGCTGATCAATCTTTGGATGCATCATTGTCTATCAGTAAATTGATTCTAGTTCCTTGAAAATCTTACGAAAATAAGGTTTACTATATACCATTCGATGTGCCTTGACTTGCTTTACAACATGGTATATTTGGTTTCACAATTCTGAATAGGTCACCTAATCTGAAAGAATTCTTTCTCTTTTATCTTTATTTTCTTGAATAAATTTTATTTAGAAAAACTTTAATTCCTGCAGCTATGCCTCGACGTCTATTTCCTATGCAATTAAAAATAACTTTTTTTACTGCAACTGAATTACCTGAAATGATGACTGATTTTTTAGCAACTGTTTCAAAAAAAATTCTTCAATCAGACGCATGGGAACCAGTTGATCCTTATGTTGAAGTTACGTATGATGCAATGACAGCAGCAACAGAAGCTCGTAATGGTACAACACCTGTTTGGGGTGAAACACTTTATTTAATTGGACGTTTTCCACCACTTGTACGAACAATTAAAATAACTCTTAAAGATCGTGCAGCTGTTCAAAAAGATCGTATTATTTCATCATTTTTTATTGATCTTTTTTTAATAAGTGAAAGTAATCCATCAGTTGGTTTTTTACCAACATTAGGTCCAACATGGATGTTTTTATATGGAAGTCCAAGAGAATATACAATAAGTAAAGATAAAGATGGTCTTAGTGAAGGAATGGGTGAAGCTGTTTGTTATAAAGGACGAATACTTATGGCTATTGAATCTCATCCAATTACTGCAGAAAATACACCAAACATGAATATACAAAAAGAAACTGGTATACAATTTCCTGAAGCAGTAAATATTATTAAAACATTTTCTAATATTATTACATTCATATAATTTCAATTCACAGCATATATTTCCAATGAAACGTTCATTTCTCTTATTTGGTTGTATTTATGATGTCAGCATGATTAATAAATCATTTGGTAATAGAACAATTTCTTTTGAATTAAGTATTGGTTCAAATGGATATTTAAATCCACAACAATTAGTTGCTGCAAATCATAAACCTGTTTCATCGTTAACACGTGCTTATTCATGTATTTCAATTGATAATAATAAAGATTATTTTCGTTTACCAATTGATTTACAAAAACCAATATTATTTACAAAATATATATTTCATGATTATATCTATCGTATGACATTATCAAATCGTCTAAAAAATGCATCTGCATATTTGGTATTGATTTTCATAAGTTTATTTAAGAAAATTTTTGTTTTTTTTTTGTTCTTATTTTTAGTATGAACAAATTCGTGAATTTGAATTGAAAATTAATTCTAAGATGTCAAATGAAATTCTCATAGAAGAATATCGAAAAATCCAATATTATGTTCATACATTACCGTGTGGATGTGCTGAACAGATAAAAGACCGTGAAATTTTGGGTACTACGCCTGCAGTTCATTCAAATTTATACGAATTATTAAGTTCTTCTCAACCAACTCTTAAAATGAATCAATTAGATAGTAAACGATATAGAAAAATTCTTAATAATATTCAATCAATTAAAACTTGGGTTTCAAAAGAAGTTAATTTTGATGTATCAAAACGATATAAAATCATTAAAGAATTGAATAAAATAGCTCGTGCATTTCGACAAATGGCTACCGATGTAAATATAATTTACACAAGAAAAGAAAAGGATAAAATTATTTTTCTTTTTTTTTTCTAAAGGCACAACCATCTTTACCTGATATATTTTTATGGATGATATGTGACTCAAAACGTGTAGCTTATGCACGTTTTCAACCTGAAGATCTTCTTTTTAATTTATGTAAAGGTGAAAAAGGTTTATATATTGGTCGTGTACAAACTATTTTTCTCAAAGTTTGTTACCATTCTTATTTCTTTGTTCTGACAAAAAAGGAAAAATATAATTGTAATTTATTTTCAGACACCACGTTCAACAGATAAACCATTAGATCCATCAACAAATGCGAAAGTACAAATCTATCTTTGGCTTGGAATTGAAGAACATGAACCATTGATATTTAAACATTTACCTGCTGGTTTTGATATGCCACCATTACCATTACATCCTCACTTGAAATTTATAACATATAATGGTTAGAAATCAATAGAGGGTTGAAAAAAACCGATAAATAAATACAATAAAATATCCCGTAGTGGTCATTTCGTAGTCCGACTAACAAGGAAGCCTCCTCAGATGTGTCGCATTTCAATTTCAATGATTTTTTGCCTATAGATATTACATAGTGTTCTAATAAAAAATCTAAAATTATTTGGGTTTCTATTGAGATTTGACTGAGATATCGAGTTTTTAATGTCTATTTTCTAGCATCTCAGGTATCTCGAAAACTCGAATTTTACTCTGAAACTTTTTGAAAGCTTCATATCTCAAAGAGACTTTGTTCGAAAGTTTTGAATTTTTTTATAGAAGCTAGCCTAGTTGATTTCTCTATATACAGAAAGTTTCAGAGTAAAATTTAACAAAAAAAAACGAGTTTTTCGAAAAACTGGGACTTTTAGAAAATAGACATATTAAAAATTCAATACCGCAGTCAAGTCTCAATAGCAGTTGAAATCATTTAAGGCCTTTTATTAGAAAACTATGTAGCATCTCTATAAACAAAAACTTATTGAAATCGGAAGGGAACATCTGAGGAAGTTCCCTCGTAAGTGATTTTTGCTGGAAGCAAATTTAGGCATCGATGGGACCATTTTTTTTAGTCCCATTTTTGGACCCGTTAAAATTTTTTCGTGGTCTCGGTGCCGGTTCCGTCTCGGTCTCGGTTCAGATCCTTGTTCCGTTAAAATTAAAATTTGGTCCCGATTATGGCTCCGACAGGACCGGAACTGTTTTGTAGTTCCCTAAACGAACCTCTGCATAGTGTGTATCTCTTTGTAATGGACATCGTCATATAGTTCTATGGTGAATATTTTGCCCAATAGTGTCCACGACATGAAAGCTTTACTATATTTTAACAATTGTTAATTTTCTGAGAACAAAAATGCATGAAGAGACAAGTAAAAATAAGCAATAGTTAATTTTTTATTCAATAACACTCTCTAGATATCTAGAAAACGCTTCTGTTCTTTGTATAAAAAAAACTGCTTTGAGAAAAGACCTAACCTCCTTCTAATAGATACCCTCCGGACTTTTCAAAAGTGTCCACTTGAGAGAGGCTATACTGTATATTTTTTTTAGAACGAACTTTTTATGAATTACGATGTCATTGTTATAAAGCAAGAGCATTAATTGCTGCGGATACAACAGGTTTATCAGATCCTTATTTAAGTATTACAGTTGGTAATGAGACACAAACAGCACCAGTAAATCATCTTGTATTCGTAATTTCTTTTGTTAGTTTCTTTTTCTTTTTGCATAGATTCTCTTAGAATCATTATGTCCACAATGGAATGTAACGTTAGCTTTTCAAAATTTGATGCATGTTGGAACTCGAGAAACAGCTGAAGAAATTATTGGAAATGTTGTTGTCGAATGTTATGATTATGATGAAGTACGTAGACAGTTTAAAAGTGAAAAAAGCATGTCAATATCACGATAATATCAGTGTGGAAATTAAGACTGATCAAGTTATAACTCGAGTCATAACTTTTGAGTTACAACTGATCAACTTTTAGGTTCAAAAAGTTAATTGATTTATAAGCATCAACCGTAATTATAACTTTCAACCCGACTTATAACTATCAACGAGTTTAGCTCGATTAACTTTTTGAATTTTTGAGAATATTTAATTACGTTGAAATAGTAACTATTTTGATTTAATTGATACGTTTGATAAAATAAATTAAAATATATGTATTTTCAGTGTTCTTTAATTTAAAAACTTAGTATTTATAAATTATTCTCTGAGAGTTTTTTCCATGTATTCGTCTAAAAGTCTCGTTTGCTCATATTTATATGTCGAGTGTGAATGCCTGCATAATACAATATATTTTTCATTGTATGACCAATGATAATCTTTAAAATGTGTGTAGCTGAGAATAGTATTTAAAGCCTGAACCTACTGTGTTCTATTTTTTATTCTCTAAAATGGTAATCATCTTCAATATATGTTGTGAGCAAATTTAGATAACGCTCCTTAGTAGCATAATCATGTATATTTTATTTTAACATGAAATAACTATATCAAGTTATTCTCAGTTCACATAGATTGTTCTGTTTAAAGATTGCGGAAAAAACATCGATTTCAATTGGTTTTTCTTCGTGATAAATAAAAAAATCTTTAACCTATTTACTTTCGATTGCACCAGTTATAATCAATTTTTTTCATTAAGTTTTAATTGATTATAATCGATATTACTCAGAATAATCAATGAAATTTTGTTTTTCGGTTCATTTCCATTATAATCGGTTACAATATGATTAAAAATCGGTTAAAAGTATATGGTTTTTATTCTAATTTTTATCCTAATTTTTTTTTTACATGGGAAGTCTTGAGTAACGTTGAAAGTTGTATTGGCTGGTGACTATAACCACACTGTTTCTAAGATCCAAGACTATAACTATGGCCGAAATTTATAACGAAAGTTAACAGTTATAACAATTTCAACATTCGGTCGATGTACTCTATTGCGAAACTTTTTTTATATACTCTTAATTCAAAACCGTGTATGCTTGATAAATATACGTTCAATAAAAATGATTGCAATTTCCACGTTTCGTTCATAGCTGTTAATACAAAAACTCTTAATATTGCACTGCATCATTTCACTCACAGGCGACGGATAACTACAAGAAAATGTAACTTGCAGATGAATATATGAAATAACACTCAGAGAATAATTTACAAATACTAAGTTTTTTGAATTAAAGAACAATGAAATACATATATTTTAATTTATTTTATCAAACATGTCAATTAAATCAAAATAATTACTATTTCAACATGATTGAATTTTCTCAAAAATTCAAAAAATTAATTGAGTTAGAATAGTTAATAGTTATAACTACAGTTGGTAGCTATAACTCAAGTTATAACCATTTTAACTTATTGCCGTTTTTCTCCACTATCAACTTTTTAAAAAACAGTTTTAACTTTCACACTGAATAATATGCTGGATATGTGTTTTTATTTTTATTTATTGAATATTAACATTCCAAGTTGACACGTATTTTTTTAGTCACATTCCTCTGTAAGTCATAACCTTGCTAAATATATGTTAGTGTTCATATTTGAATTTATGTCCAATGTCGGATTGGCCTAAGCCAATATAAAATTCGCTTGAACATGAGCCGTCTAATCTGAGATTGTTCGAATCTGATTATGGACACTATCATAATTATTCATATTACAACTAATTATTTATATTTTGTTTTTTTTTTTATAATATTAATGTTACTCGATGATTAGTCTTCTATAATCTAAGCTTATGAAATGCTACTATAAATTTCGACATTATGATCACGATATAGATAGATGATTTTTCTGAACTAGAAATGTGGAGTGTCGCTGTCAAAACTGAAATATTGAGACTGTCGTTACCGATGTTGGACTTCACTTGCTATGAGGCAGTGGAACTCATATAAACACTGATATTGACGTTCACAAAACCGCTGAAGTTATTGATACTAAACTTCAACGAATTCTTGACTCATTGTCATTGTTTGACAGTGAAACATTGAGGCATTGACTCTGTCAAAGTATTTTCTTTTTTGTATTTTTTGTTTTAAACAGTCACATAAAATTTTGAAATAAATCCTTTTATAGCCCAAACAAAGAAACAAAATGATAAACATCTGAATAATGTATAGTTATGAACGACGATTCGAATTTTTCTGTCGGTGACTTGTAGTCAGTAAACGTCAGTTTTAGTGTACCAGCGATGAGTGAATTAACACTGTCAAATCCCTATTCTCAATTAGGGTTACCTTTAGACTCAATTATTATGTTTGTAAACTGAAATCGTCAATGAAAAGTCACTTATAACTAGGAAAATAATTTCTTGTATTATTTTCATTATGTCGATTATTGAAATGTTTTAACAAAGTATATAAAGATCTTTGAACATGATCGTTTGCAACATGTTTATTTCCAAAAATCTTAAGGCTTTATGCCTCTTCTGTAGTATTCTCCGTTCTTTTCGACGTGATTTCACAGAGAAAAATCAACTCTTGAGTCAAGAAAAAAGAACAAAACTCAAGGTTTATAGTCCAAATAAATAGAGTTTCAAGCCAACGCATGGATTATAGATGAAAAATTCCTGAGATCATTTATATAAGTGGCTGTTTCAATTTTTTTTCTTGTTGAAAAATTAGAAAAAGGAGATAGGAAGCATTCAGATTAAAAAACAATCAAGTTAACCCTTAAGAGCCGAATGTCCTTCCCAAGGGGCATTATGATAATTGATATAAAAAATGTAACAAAACTCCACATTCCAAAAACGAATAGTTTTTCAGGTTAGAGTAGCATGATAGGCTATACACTGAAAAACAAAATGTATTTAGCTGGCTTCTAAATGTGATAATTAATTAATTACAATTGAAAAAATTTTGTGGATGTAAATTTTTGTTTTGACGACTTCGTTGGTTCATATATAAAACGTTCAGTTCTGATTTCGAGATTAATATTAATGAGCATTGCATCTAGCTATCGTATGAACTCATCCTTAAAATTTGGACGTGATCTACTGTCAATATATGACATCTGAAAAAGGTGTTCTTTGCATAGAATATAGAAAAATCAAAAGAAAGGAATTCCGATCCGAAATTTTTCCCATAAATAGGCTTCATGATCCTTAGAATGCCCTAAAAGTTTCAGTCAAAACGGATACTGCTCTCTAGAAATATGGCACGTTAAAAAAAAGTCGATTTTTGTGTAATGTCATCGATGTTTTTTCTTATTCAATATTTCGGCAAGAAAGCAGTCTTTCATTTGATTCTTCTATAAGGTCGTACATGCTGTCCAAGGGATATTCAATAACTCTAGAAGAAGAACAAAACAATTATTTTTAGCTATAGTATGAACATACTGAAGGTATATAATCTCTATTTTTGTGATCAGCTTTCTTTCGTTGTCAAAAAATACCCCTTCGGCTGTTAAGGATTAAGTTATCGCATAATTTCAATCGTAATTATCGAGGATCGTCGTATTTGAAGGACTTATTTTGATACTCCAAATTTGGCTTAAAGCTTTACCGATTCTTCTTCAAATTGACGACACCGTATATACTAATTGGTCTAATTAGCAGAACACGTCAAAGAGTGTAAATATCATGGCGTCATTGATCTGGAAAAGTACTTGGTTGACCACAGTTCATAAAAAAAACCATTGGTTCGAACGATTTACTCAAAGTTGTAACCGGTAACAGTATACGACCGGTCCAGTCTAGGCTTTTTTGATTTTTGCATGTTTCTGTTCGAAAAATTGAATATAAAAGTGATTTTTACGCAAATCAAAAGCTTTTTACTAATGTCGAAGACCATATCAGTGAGGAAATATGCATCAAACTATTCTATTTGATCAAAATTCATCATAGAATCCTTATTATATTTTCTCAACTCATTTTGGTATGACGTCCTATTATTAAAACAAAATCGAATAATTCTTTAGCATTGTAGTTTTTCATAGGTTTTTTGTATTTTCTACTATTGATAGCATATATTTTCCATAGACATAAGCTTTAACACAGTGAATATTCCGTAGAAGATAGATTATGTATACCGTTAATCAATAGTGTAGATGTCTGAAGACCAGTTAATAAAAGCACAAAATTAATATAGAATTTGTAGTTCTATAAAATTTTCTGGCCACCAGCACTGCCAAGAACGAGAAACATATGAAATTAAAAAGTAAAAAGCACTATAATCGTGAAACAGTGCTTCTATACCATCTCTGTAGTGATTAGGAGGAAGATATGACTAATCCAAGGAACGATTTGACTGTTATAGGATCAGAAAAAAGAAGAATGACTCATGCCAGTATACAGAGCGGTCCACTCTGGTCTGACGGATACCGGTAAGGAAGAAATCGTATCGGTTCAAACTCTGGATTTACTCCTTTTTTATCAAGTTTTTTATAGTTTGTGTATTAAATTAATATTTTCAGTCTTGAAGAGATCGGTTTCAACTCAAAATAGTCGATTTTAGTGTGTTACAGTATTTTGTGTCCGATGGTGGCAGGCTTTTCCTATTGGTTAAGTCTTCTAGCTAATGACTATTTTTGTAGCGCCATCTTTAATGAATAATCAAGAAGCAGAAGAATATGCCGCCTTTCGGCTATCTTGCAGTATATGGTGCTGCTCAGAGACACTTATGAGAGCCATATATTTTTTCTACAACTATGACTAGCTGCAGCTCTGGACAGAAGGCTAGCCTGATTCAGAGTTTTTCCGCTCAATTACTTGGGTTCCCTGCACATACTGACTAACCGCATACTAACCAGAAGGGTCGATGTATGTCACAACGTTGTTAGTATGCTATCGTATAGATTATCCAAGACAAACAGCCGTTGGCGACTTGTCCAAGATCATTCTATGTCTGATGGTGCCGAGGCGCGAACACAATACCTTAATATAGTACGTGTCAAACAGCTTAACCACTCAG